CGTGTGGCCCAAGGTCAAGGACGTTCTGGCAGAGCCTCCAGATGCTGACCTTATCCAGAGGTTCTGTATTCTAGTTGTACATTCTGGGCCTTCCAGGCTTCAGTTTACAAACGGTCCTAGAATAGAGACTAAATCAGTCGAAGTTCTTGTGTTTGGAGATGAACTACCTAAGCGGTCATTATGTAGTGTTATGGGATGGGTGATATGCTCGTTTTTTGGTTGCAAGTGACAAAATCCTAACTTGGACCTGTTCCAGCAAAAATGGAGAGTATGTTGGACCTTGGAACTGGAAATTCTAAGGGGATCAACTACTTCAGGTGAATGCAGGGATTCAAATAGCATTGTTAGGACACACTTGTTTTCTACCTCTCAGCTCTGCTGCTCATCTTGATTTTATCATTGATTGCTTCTGTGGCTCATGATCACATAAAAAGTGAGGCTGTTTTCTGATAACCCCAACAAAAGTCCCGGGAAAGACTCTGATTGGCTGGGTAATGCTCCAATCCTTGAACCACCCTGTGTATTTGCGAGAGTTGAGGGCCTCTGATTGTTCAGGCTTGGTCACTTGTGTATGCCAGGAGCAGGGTGAGTACCATAACGCTGGAGGAGCTGAGCAAGATTGCCATGGAAAGTGGGAGAAAGGAAGAGCCTGCAGACAAGCAGCCGTGATTGTAGGGGATATAGCATTTGAGCACTACGGCATTAAACTGAGACCACACTAAGACTACGATCAGAATTATCCTTATCCGACTTATAAATCTCCATGAAAAACCAAACCCAATAAGAAGAGGCTGTGCATTTATTAAATTCGTTTCAAACATACCTTCTCATGTCACTTTGATCCAATTTGATTTCCTTGAGTCTGTTACTGTGCCGCCTTAGAACAAAATAATTCTCTGTGCCTTATTCAAATGACAAATTATCTTGTGATAACAAGTAGCTTTCACTGAAGTCAGCACATGGAATATGAATCCAATGAGAATATGAAACACAGTAAGCAGATGCTCAGAAAGACGCAAAAGGTGTGCACAGGGTGAGACAATTTAGGGGGCTGTTTTTCTAAGCGCTGCTTTTGAAATTGTTTTCTGTAAATGGAAATAATCCAATTTGATAGTGGGGTTCTACACAGAGTGTGCCTTCAGTGTTCAATATTTCTGACTTTTTGAGGCAGAAATAGTCATTTCAAGTAAATTATATGCAGCATATACAGGAAAGTTATGGTGTGTAGTTACTTAGGATTCTATGGTGATTTTTGGCAGATTTTTAAGTTTCCCAGAACTTGTAAGGGAACTTTGAAATGCTACATTCTATGGAGATAAAAGTTAACTAAAAAACAAAACAAACCAAAAGATACACGGAGAAATTAGGCTACAAATTTTGAAATAATAATGGCACTTTATCCACAAGATCCTTTAACACCCCCAATGAAAAGAGCTGCCCAGGGCAACAATGGCAAATATTTGCGTCTAGATAAGATGGAGTCCAATAAAACCCAAGGTGGTAGCTTAAAGATTTAGGAAAATTGTAATATTCCAAATTCCAGAATGGAAAAAAAGCTGATGTATTTGTAAATGAAGAAATTGATAATAGAAAATGGTAAATGTGAAGAAGTTAAGGTTGGTAATGACTGGCAGTGATGGAAATGAAGAAAAGTGAATTGTGAAAACTAAAAGAAAATGTGATTTTACATATTGATTAATTACATAGTGATTAGAAGTGTATATTACTTTTGGCAATTTTAAGTAAGGGTGAGATTTGGCACGGGGAAGGACAGGGGAGAGTAAGATTGTTCCGTATATAAAGTTTCTGCTGACCTTATTGCTGTTTTCACTAAATGCCTGGTTTAGAAAAATAGGGTCTCCGGAGAGGTGCCTTACTGGTAGGTCTTGGAGGGGGTGAAAAAAGTACTGCTTCCCTCTCCTGTGCCCCACGAAAGCCACAAAGCCTTGGTGTTTGAAAGGCAAAGCCAGATGCAAGTCCAATGACTCACAGATCAATATCTCTCACTGACCTTAGGAAGCTTTAGAAGGAAATCACCAGCTAGCTAGTGATTCTTAGTTTAGAAAGGGCAGGTGAGGCTAGCTACCTCCCCGAGGAGGCTTTAAAAAGAAGACTGACTTTAAATTCTCTGCCAGTTAACATGGCCAGACTGTAGTGTGCTGTCATGCTGTCAGACGCAGCTAAATAACTGGAATTTGAGGAGCATCTTAGTGTAATAATCCAACATTAATCGATTTTGATGATCTCCCTATGTTCATTCCCCTAATTAATTTGATCTCTTCCTATGAGCTTGAAATTACTCATACGATAAAGATGCTTACTTTCAAATAATCCCTATTTGTTTTGGCAACTGAGGGTTTTTTTAAAAAAGTATTTATAAATCCAAATTATAATCCTACTTCATTTTGGCTTGCTATTTTCATATTTTATATA